TATAATTTTTTTCATCCCTTAAGATGAGAAGCTTGTTTTCACAATACTGTACCTTCCCTTCCTTTTCTGTCTTCTTACTGCTTGTGTATGTGTTTGTGCCTATCAGTTAATTGTGTTGGGATTTTTCATTCATTCTTCCATACAATATTCCGTTCATTGGCTTGACTTCCTATATCAATTTTCTTTTTCTTGTATTTATGCAGAAAAGTGATTTGACGGTTTCTTCCCTGGATTTGGAACTGCAAGTATCTGGCAATGAGGTAGGATGAGAATTTTTTTATTCTTGATTGTTTTAACTTTTATTAGGTGGGACAATCTCTATCTCCATGTGTGTGTGTGTGTGTGTATGAGAGAGAGAGAGAGAGAGAGAGAGGTTTAGGGCCTGGCTATTGATGCATGTTATAATAACCTTTGCCTTTACATTTAATGTTTTCACTGCATTTATAATTTAGCATTAAACTTATGCATGTGGTGGCATTGAGATTGCACAGATATAAACATGCAGTGATCTGCATGTGAACAGAAAAGTGCATAATGGACTTTCATTTAGCTTTGGTTTCACATGGTTTGTGGTTGCTCTTCTGAAGCATAATAATTGTTAATGCATGTGTCTCTTCAGCGTACCATTTAATTCTTTCAATAAACTTATTTTGGTAAGACAGAGCCACAAGTGACTGATGTGATGCATCTTTTTTAGCATTTTGTCTTTCCTATCCTTAACAGATCTTATTTGGTCATGTTTTTCTTTCTTTTCTTTTTTTTTCTGTTTTTGTTCTCATTTTTCAACTTCTATATTTTGCAGTGATCATTCCAGCTCAAATTTAAACATAGAGTGTGAGCAAGGTCTGCTAAACTTACTTAAGAATATTCTATTCTATGATGACATTATTAATGCATTTTGGTGTTGATTCTGAAATGTGGAATTGCAGATATGCAGGTGGATGGCAATCCTAATAGTAAAGGATAAGTTGGCATTGCTTCAACTGTTGAAACTGCTGCCAGGAAAAAGAAGAAAAGAGACAATGAGAGTACTACTGATGCTATAGCCGGTCAATCTGAAGTTGATGATAAATCTGCCAACTCTAAGAAGAGTAAAGAGCAAGTTTTCAAGGCAGCAGCAATGGCACCTGCTGCTGATGTTATGGGTGGATTGGATGAGTCTGCCAAGAAAGAGAAGGAGAAAAAGAAGAAAAAAAGCAAGTTGGATTCTGAATCTCATGTTGGCAATGTAGAATGTCATCCTTCAGAATCATTAGTTGGGAAATCTGAAAAAAAATCTAAACATTCTGTATCTACAGAGTGTAATATAGTGTCTAATGCTGGGGTAGAGAATGAAACTACAGATTAGAAGGAAAATAGAAACAAGCTGACTTCTGATTCTTTTGTTGAAAGTGTTGACCAACATGGTTCAGAGGACAAGCCACACACTGCCACTACTTTGAATGATAGTGACGTATCATTGGAAGACAAGACATGCAAAACTTAAAAAAAGGAAAAAGAAGGACAATTTTGAAGATATAGAAAAAGGAGAATTAAGTAGAATAGAGTCTAAGGATAATAAAAATAGGATCTTGAAGGAGGATTTAACAATCATAGTTAGTAAAGGTTCAAAGAAAAGGAAAATATTGGATTCTGAACTACATGATTCTCAGCCTGTTGACGAAAATGCTATTGAAGACTCTAAACGTAGAAAGACAAAAAGTTCAGAAGATCAATTCACAAAGTTAAATTCATTAGTGGGAGATGACATACATTTTAGTAAAGAAAATAAAGGAGAAAGTGATGAGGTTGGTGTCAATAATTTTCTAAAGAAGCCTACTAAACAGTTTAACGAGCAGGAAATTGGGAACATTGAGAAAAATGGAAAGAATTCTGAGCAAAAGAGCTTGAAGAACAAGCAAAATGGTTCAGTTCAGGCAAGTTTATGAATATCTTGATTTCTAGAACATTTTAGAAGAATGATGTATTGAAGCCAAATTATGGCCTCAGTTTGCTTGTTTTCTTTCTTTGATTTAAAATAATGCATATCCCATTGACTCTCCTTTATCATGTTGAGTCCAGAATTTTCCTATCTTGCATATGCTAATCTATATGGAATGCAATTTTTTTTAAGAAAACATGCATTTAGCTGTATATTAAACCTCTGCTTCTGGAATCTCATCGGTAATTACAGAGACAGTGATGATACTTTACTAGTTTTCTTTTTCAGTGATACTTTACTAAGTAGGCTTTACAGGCTTATTCCTTGTAGAAAAATTTCAAGGTTCATGAAATATGGCTAGTGCTACAACGCTAAAGAGATTTTGCTCTGAAAAACTTGTGAGGCTATATGTGGGCATTTTGAAATTGTCTTTTACATGTTAAATGTATTGATTTATCTAGCTGAAGCCTCAAGTAACTTTAAGGAACACCGTGTTCCACTCAGGTGTTTCCAGTCTTTTTTTTTTTTTCTTCACACTGCCTGAGTTTTTAGTGTTCAAAATTTTTTGGTAATTTGATGGTTGGATGTGAGATTTTGATGTTGCATTCTTGGTATTGGTGTTTTTTCTTAACCTTATAACATCATAGGATGTGTTGTTTATTTGATGTTATTCCTCTCTCTTACTCCCTCCTCCTTGGGTGTTGTTTGTGAAGATCAGTGGTGTTTAATCTTGAGGGAGAATTGATTTTTGGTTCTTTTGAATGGTTCTTATTCTGGTTATAGTTTTCCTCGGGGGTGTTAAGGAATAAGGATAATTCTTGCAATATTATTTAGTCTTTGATTCATAAGAGTTTTAATATTGAGTGTTGTTTTATTGCAGCCAAAGAAACCATTTCAAAGAGTGAACATTGATGAGGTAGTATTTGTTGATAGCAGGCTTGAAGATAATTCATACTGGGCAAAGGTATAATCTGTCTGTCCCTCTCCTTTTTGTTAATGCTCCATTTATTTTGCTGTTATATGAATATTTTTGTTGCTTGTAAAATTTTTGCAGGATGGTGCTGAAATTGGATATGGTGCAAAAGCACAAGTTCTTGGTCTAGTAAGAGGAAGGTACGTTTGTATATATGTGAAGCCAATGCTAAGATTATATTGTGTGTTCACTTCTTAGGTTGAGTTTATCATGTTCCTTTCTGATTCCAAAGTAAATTAATATTACTAGTTACCTGGACTCCAGTGTTAGTATGTTACAAGAACACGCTTGTAATTATTGGTTTGGGGTTGCTAGAGACTTTGATAATCGTCAGAATCTGAACTTTCTCGAGCTTGCATATGATTCTTAGGCTTTATCTTCAAGGCTTAGGCTTTATCTTTTTCTCATTGCCTCTCCCTTTCCTTGTTTTATCTCCATGCTTTAAAATTTTCTAACTATTTCTAAGGTCTAAAATTGGAATCAATGATCCTCTTGATACTCAAATAAGATTGTCTATTTGTTTTAAATCTTACTTTAAATGGCATGTACAAGGATTCGCAAGTAATAACTGAAAGCCAAAAATGATTCTGTGTTGTTGATAGACCTTCAAAACCTGTAAAGCCTATCAAACTGGATTGCTGACTTGATGATTTTCCTGAATCTTAGCGTGAATTAAAATTTCTCATGTATTTGCTCTGCATTTTCCTTGCAAGCTGGCTACATTTCTTATGTAATGCCTTCATAGCAGAAGTTTGAACTCCTGACTAGAATTTTTTGGCATAATAGTTGCAGGGGATACCACTCTGATCTTTTGGATTCCTAACCTAAAGTCTAGCGTTTGATTTAACAAGCTTTGGCCTTAAGTCAAGAATGTAGCTCAATGGAAATGGAAGTGGCTCAGTTTAATGCTGTAAAACAGCTTATTTAAGTGAAGAACTGATGTCTATCATCAATCTATTAGGAGGGATTGATAATTTTCCTTTTCCAAGGACTCTTAATGTGTTAAACTTGAGACTTAAAGTGTTTCTTTTGTTAGTGGTAGTTTGTACTCAAGTTACTGTTTGAAAACTGCATGGGTTCTAGGATAAAAGAGCAAAGGAAAGAACATAAACGGATTACCGTCAACAAGCTTATAGTAATGCTGTAATTGACTTTGCTTTTGATGTGATTGTTTCCTTATTGGCTTAATATACACTCCGTATTCTTGAATTATAAGCTTGGTATTTACATTTGCAAGGTCCAAATTAACCTGGATGAAGTGACTTTATTGTGCTCCATGCCCAGTCAAAGTATTAATATTTTGCAGGAAATGAATTTGATTTTTTTTTTTTCGTTTTTGTTTTTCTGTGATGTGGGGTGAATGGTTTTGCAATATTAAGCTTAAGCCAATAGGAGTCTCTAGAGTTGGGGAATTTACTAGGGATTGTTTGTTCCCTATGTTCCTTTGAAATAATATATTGGAAACTAGAAATGCACTTATTTTAAACACTAGTACAATGCTCATGCTTTGCTGATTTTTTTGTTTTGTTTTTCTTTAGAATAACTGCAAATTTGAAATATCTGAAGTTTTCTTGATTTGATAGAAAAATCCCTAACACTAAATAATTAGCAATTCACAAGGGTCAGTCCAATTAGTAAGAAGAGTAATTCCTTTTTCTTGTCTATTTATTCTGTAGACCTTAATTTGTGCTTTAATAGGAATAAGTGATTCCTACCTGGGCAATTTCATAATTACAGGAAGATGGCTGTCAAAGGAAATTATATATGTATTAGCAAAAACAAAAGTTTGATTTACAAATGTTTGTGTTATGGAGTATGGACATTATGGTATGCATGAGATGTCTGTCGAAGATTTTCCAGAGACATCAAATGCTTCATGGGGCTTTAATTTTTACACTCTTTGTCAGACTGTATGGAAAAGAAAAGACATGAAGTTTTAGGATTCATTCACCCAACAACAAAAAGGAGAAAAGTGAGAATTTTGATTCATACTCTGACAAATAACGAAATAGTCAGTATAGGCATACATTTCTTATAATCTCTGCTTTAATTTTCATGTCCATTTCCTTTATCGTACGAAGACCATGACAAATGGTTTATATGGAAAGTGGGTTATAGAAAACCATTGAAACCTATATAAATGACAAACAATTGCATTAGCTCTCAGTAAAACAAATGCTCACATGAACAATATATAGTATGGTAAGATGGGGAATTTTCTCATCGTATGTATAAGAGGTATGTCTAAAAGTCCGATTAAGCAGGTCCTCCATTAAATGTATCACGGTTATCCTTGCTTTCTTGATCGTCCTTTCGAGGAGATTCTTTCCCTGATTTCAGCTTCCCATTTTGTAAATTGAGGTATGTGTAAAACGACATACCAGCAATAGCTACAAAGGCTCCGCATATACTGGTTCTGCCTGGATTTGAACCGAAGATGTAATAATTTCCCAGAAGCAGCACGCAAGTTTTAAATTGTCCAAGAACCACATGGGAGATGGCTGACGTTGCCCTGAAATTTGAGCATTTATCAGCATATATATATGTATGTATGTATGTATATATATATATATATATATCTCGTCTGTGAAGTCACAATATCTGCTTTCTAAATGTTAAAAATAAGTGCTAAAAATAATATTTAGGCTTTGCTTGTTAAACGAAAACCTTTATGATTCCAAGTGGCTAATTGGGTTGCTTGGTAGGTTCTGCACAATATCTAAAGGTTAGGTTTCATAATATATATATTTTTACTTTGTAACTTATTGAATTAAAAAATTTTCCCAGTCAGTCCTCCTTTCTATCCTTCTTGCCAAGCTAGAAAGTTTGGTTTCTTCGAATCATCCATTATGTGTAGAAATATATGTATCAAATGAGTTAGGTTTCTTGGTGTACAATAGCTCGAACGATTAAAAGAATTGTTCCTCCAATTTGAAGAAATGGAGTCCATTCTTACCCGAGTGCCAAAGCTGCTGACCACTGAAGCAAGAAGCCGAAAACACCAGTGATTAAAATCATGGATGTGTTGATAAAATTCCAATTGTAGGAGAGGGCTCCAGGAGGATCTAAGAGGGGAATCATAATAAGCAGACAAAGCAAAGAGATGGGCGTCGTCTTCCACATTAACCTGTAAATAACGCATTCTAAATCAATTTGCACTATTAGTGATAGTATTAATAGGAGAATTAATGCTGTTGAATAGTAAAGAATTTAGCATACGCCAAGGCAGTCCAATTCTCCCTCTGTTGCAGACTGGACCAGAGAATCTTGCTTATTGCACTTGGAATTATCCAAGACAATGCTACGCTGGCACCGAAGAGGTTGAACTGCAGATCAGTCACCGTAGCAACAGCCACACCAATCGATACGACTGCAAGTGCAACGACCTGGAAAATTAAAATTTACATTTTCCATCAAAGAGCTTCTACTTTCCAAAGCTATTGCATTACATATATTCAACTATCCTTCTAATCAGGTCCACTGAAAAAGCCTTGCTTAATTGAAGTAAGGTCAGAAAAGATGCAAATCAGTGTCACCTTGGGGAAAGAAACCTTCTTTTTATACCATGTATATTCTGCCAGAACAATTGTAGGCGTAACAGCGATCTTGGCCATCTGATAAAATCCCACGCTGCAAATAACAAACAAAAGGTTGCAGAGGCAGAACACAACTAATTTTTCCAATTACGTGACTAAAATATCTTCTCACCTGTTATACTTCAAGCTGACATTAGCAAGGCCAGTGCAAAGAGACATAACCAGTCCAAGAGTAAATAAAGGGGTCGATTTTAAAGGAGGAGAGGGAGGAATCAAAGACAATGCATTCAGGACGGCTATAAATGCCAAAGTTACTACGTAATGAATAAAACTGAGGAGTACGGGAAACTGGAAGCCGGCATTTTTTAGCACCTGCATGAGATCGAAAGCAGAGAGGCGGAGGAAGTTAATTAGCTGCCAGACCCTTTACGTATAGATTGAAGAGGTCAGAATTAGAATACCAACCCATTTGTTCATGAAAATAATACCAATAGCAACCACAAAATTGAATGTAAGAGCAACACTTGGAGTGCAAAGACGTTGCTGTAGATGCTTTGCATTTTCAGATGAGCAAATATTGTTAAACAGGGAGGCTCGCAACTCTTCCAGAGCTCTTCCTTTGTAAATATACCAAAAGAGAAGGAATTAAGGATGAAATGTGGGAAGCACCAAAATTTCTTTGAACATATAGTTAGTAATTGTTTAAACATTTTTTAGAAGTTCCAGGTTTTTTTTTTTTTTTTTTTTTTAAGGCTGTAATTGGATATAAAAGAAGTGGTTATAGGTGTTGCGATTCTAACTATGCTAAACAAAATGTAAAAAAAAAAAAAAAAAAAAAACAAAAAATAGCCTTTGCATGACATTGGGCAGAAGTGAAAAGGATAAACTAGTATAAAATTGCTAATGAAATACTTCGTATGTCCAAAGAATAAGCTAAACTAACTGAAAAGTGAATGGATGTGAAAGTGAAATTGAAATAAGTAAACAAAATTCAAGTATGATCACATATCTTTTTCTTAGTTTTAGAAACAAAAAGGTTACTTATGAAACATTATAAACAAAATGAAAAGAACAATTAATTGATTACATACCTGTTTCGTTAGCATCACTACCTTTGCGCTTGAGCAGTTTCCTAACATCTTTGTTTGCCAAAAAATTGAGAATCTCCCGGCTTGACAACATTTCTCTATGCTCTCCTCCCTTCGCTTCCCTTCCCTTCCCTCCGAATCACCAAATTTGGCTCCTATATTTCCAAATTCTTTGCTTCTCAGATAAACTCTATATAGAACACTCTGAAAACGATTTCCAATAAAGCAGAAAAGTGACGGATAATGGGGAGGAGAGGTACAAATTCATGAGGGGGGAATTTGATTTGCCTTGCATTTTTTGTTTCTCTAATTTCATTTTCATTTCAGGTATCTAATTAAATACAGAAATTGTCTTTTAAAATAAGTTGAAATTCTCGTGCGGTAAATGGCTTACAAGGACACCGTTTGAGACGTTTTATTGAGCTTTGATATTTCTTAGCAAGTAGAGGACAAATTTTGGACTACTGAATTTGATCTCCAGGTCCACGTGCAACAAATGTCTTCCCGTCTTGCTATTTGGGTCACAGCTGCATTAAAAACTATCCTTATTTTCTAATTAATTTGTTAACAATAGTGGTCAAATTTATTGCTATACCAATTGAAATTGCCATTACATAATTAGACCTGCGTCGTGTATGGCCTGTGTTGGAGCTCAGCCCTACCGTCTAGTCTAGCTCGGTTACTGTGTAAAATAAACTTTTGTTAGCATTGAAATTAAATTAAATATTTATTTTTAAAAAGAGTTAATATAAGGCCGGATCAAATTCACAAATCCAAAATTAGGGTAGGCCCACAAGCTTGAGTGAGTAGCCGATTCATTGAACACTCGTCCATATATGCCTACTTGTAAACGGTGCTTCTATTAATTTTTTCTTTCCACACTTTTTTTCAAATTATTTCTAAATAAAATTATTTAATTATTTTTTATTATAATTTTAAAAAATTTCAGATATACATGTTTGATAAATTTTATAACTTATCATATATTCGTATTTCATTAATTATAAAATTTATCGGGTATAAAAATTCAATAAATTATATAACTTAATAGATTTTTATATTCGATAAATTTTAAAAAAATTACATTTAAGGATTAGAAATAAAGGTTTTTAACAGAATCTATCTAATCAATATCATCATGATCTAACAAAAAAATTTATTTAATTTTATTAGATTCCAATAAAATCTAAAAATTCAATTGAGAAAAAAAAATCATATCATAAAGAATTTTCACAACATTACAAAGAAAAAGTATGATTTATTTTAAATAATTATAAATTCATTTATAAAATCATAGATAAAAACTATAACTTTAATAAAAAGAGCACTCGATTACAACATGTAGATTTTTATATTTCTTTTCTATTTCAATGATTTGGGATGAAAATTTTTAAAAATTTATGAATATATGAATTTAAAAACTTTTAGAAGCTTATGGTTTTACAAATCTAGAGGCATGTAAAAGTTTTCGGATTTGTAAATCTAGAAATTTAAAAGTGGGAAAGATTAGTTCGACAAAAAAAAAAGTAATTTCATTTAAAATTAGAAAAAAAAAGATGCAAATATAAGCTCTCACTACAAAAATCAAGTCAAGTGAGATACCGCATGTAATTTCCCTTTTTCTATTGTATGTAATTTCCCTATCCCTACTGACGTTGTGAATATTCTTAAGCATTGTAAATATGTCTATCCTACAATTACCTATGTCATTTCACTAAGTCTAGATCAATAGTTCCTTTTTCCAATTCACTAAAGCTCTCCGTAATTTCCTCTATGAAGTATTTTAAAGTTACCAATTGATATTTATATAGAGTTATCATAGTATTTAATTGATTAATTTTTACTTGAGTCCTGGTGATTAAGTTTAATTATGCACCTAATTTTGGTTAATTATCATATGCATGAGAAAATTAGTAAGAAAGAAGAAGGTAATTAGTAGACATAAAAGGGGAGGCATAATGGCTAAATTTGGAGTCAAATGGAGTTCAAAAATAAATTTAGAATGGCCACATAAGTAAGGAGATAATAAGACAAAACAGTCCACATAACGCCAAAAATAAAGTTGGCATTAGTTGGCAAAAATGCCATCTACCATTTTTATGTGTTTAATTATTATTAATTTATTTTATTGTGTAAAATTTAACATTTTAAGGTAACTCATTTATTAATAACTTAGAAACTCTTACTAATTATAAAGATACTTGCTATTAATAACATATGCCCGATAAAATTCACAGAAAGAAATCTCATAAAGCATATGCACATTGAATATATAAATTAGTTTCTTAATTAAACACTCTATGTTGTTAATTAATATGAGTTAATCTTAAATTAATACTTATTTTGAAATGATAAAATATTATAGACACCTCATTTTATTTAAAAAAATTTGTTAAGATTAAAATGGATCTTGATCGAGAATTGGGTTTTACTAAAATTTTTTGAGGACTAAGTGTTAAAGGCCTAAAATTCTTAATCTTAATTTTAATTTTGATTTTAATTTTGATTTTAATTTTGATTTTAGTTTTAATTTTGATTTTGATTTTGATTTTAGTTTTTGTTTAATTTTGTGTCAAAATTAAAAGCAAGAAAAAATAAAGTCCAAAAAAAAAAAAAAGAGGCAAGAAAAAAAGAGTTTGAAAATCCAAAGAAAAAAGTAGAATTTGTTTCTACTGAGGTCTTGAATTTGATTTTGTCCTTAGATCTAATATCAAATCATGAAATTCAATGACGGATTATTTTTGGAAAACCTGGAGCACAATTCAATGAAAAAGGAGAAAGATTACACGTAAAAGAATCTTAGAGATTTCTCTTAGATTTGGTAGAATTAAGAAATTTTCAAGATTAAAGGGATTCGATCTCTATGAAAAGAGACCCAATCTATAAATCAATAGAGGAAGCAGTCAGGCAATACAAAAGTGATTGAGCAATTAGAGTTAAGGTTTTCTAGGTTCTGAGTTTTTAGTCTTTCTAGGAGTTTGGAATCTTGCTTGAATCTTTGGAAATTCAATGTTAATGTCTTTTTTTCTTTTTTTGGGTTCTAATTGATTTTTTAGTTTGTTTTGAGAATTCATGGTTAGAAAATTTTTTGGGTTTTTTTTTTTTTTTTTTTATTCTGGATCTGGTTTGATTTTCTGGTAATTTTGGGAATTGTTCTGAGTTTGGGTCTTTTGAGGTATGTCTAGAATCTAGTTTTTGTTATGGGTTTTGATTGATTTTAGATTCTGGTATTTTCCTAGGGAATTTTCTGTTTGTATGATTTATAGATTTTTGGTGAATTTTGAGGATATTTGGTTTTCTAAGGAGTTCTAGAAGTTTTCTAGATTTCTTTGAACTTTCCAACTAGAATTTGAGCTTTCCAGCAAGGTATACGACTGCTAGAGGGAATTTATGGTGGCCACAATCTAGGTTTTACGATCTTTTTTTGGAATTTTGGCTGGCCGGTTAAGTTTTTCGTTTGAATATCTAGAGAAAAGTTAGAGAATTTCTTGGCTAAAGAAAGAAGCAATAAGGAAAGTATGAGAAAAGTCTATTTTCTTTCCTTTGATAAAGCATTCAACGATGGAGTTTTTGGGGCCAAGACATGCGTTTCAGCCCATGCACGACCCGTGCTTCAACCCAGTAAAGACCCGACCAGATTGCAACATTTTCCTTTTCTATTTTTATTTTTATTTTGATTTTGATTTTGACTTTCTAATTTTCAGTTTGTTTTCTTTTCATTTTTTTTATTTTGTTTTCTATTATGTTTTCTTTATTCTGTTTTTTAATTAATTATTTTATTATTTTAATTTTGTGATTGAATCAAAGGATGAGGGAAAGAAAAAGGAAAAAAAACCTTTGATTTAATTTATTTGCTTAATTGATTTTTATGATTATATGTTTATTTGCATGACTATATATATTTGCATGATTGATTTTTATTTTCCTAATTATATATTTGATATTTGCATGATTAATATTGATATCTAATTGCATGTTTTTATATTTATTGTGTGATTTATTATTATATTCTGTATAATTGCATGATTATATTTAACTATTAATATATTTACATGATTATTATTACTGCATAATGATTAATATTTTGCATGAATTTAATTTTCTTGCATGATTTATTTAATTGCATGATTTATTAATTTAATTGCTTGATTATTAATATATTTATTTGCATGATTACCTAATATATTTATGTGTGTAATTGAATGATTTATTAATTTAGTTGCATGATTATTAATATATTTATATATATGATTACCTAATATATTTATGTGTATGAATTTGCATGATTAATATTATATTTGTGTGATAATTTATTTGCATGGTAATATATTTGCATGAGTATTAATATATTTATTTGTGTGATTTATTTGCATGGTAATTATATTATTGCATGCATGATATTTTGACATGATTTTGGTATGATTTTTTTATTGCATGATTGCATGATGTTTTGATAGAATTTTTGTATCACCATGTTGTGTAAATAAATAAAAGGATTGAAATTAATTTATTTGCATGACATAAAACCATATTTGATAAGACTTAGGTAAGATAACACATAATTAATTTGGTACTAATTTTGCATGTAATGGGGTGCTAATACCTTCCCTGCACGTAACCAACTTTTGAATCTTAGTTTTATTAATGTAGACTAGAACTTATTCTTTTTAGGGATTCTCAGTTTATACTTAAGACAATTTTAAAAAGAATAAATTCACAAAAGTGCTCAATCATACCTAGATAAAAAAAAAAAAAATTGTAACAACTCCATAATTTTTGTATCTAATGGTTAGGTTCTCTAACCTAAACATTATGATAGTTTAGCGACTCCACATGGGGACATTAGAGAGTCAAGTTATTAATTAGTTATGTGTTATCTTAAGCCTTGCTTTAATGGTTTTATTATGTAATTGTTTGTGATTTTCATATTACTAACCTATTTGTTTTTGTTTTCTTATTTTATAGATTTTAATTTTTTTTATGTGCACCAATTTATTTGATTATTTGGCATGTCCCTTGACACACATCACTCTTATATTCATACATAAACTCTAGCCTGGGCTTTGTCTTTTATTAAGAGAGAGCAAGTATCTACATTCTCATGAGGGGATAACATTAATGTGAGCTAGCAAAAACTCCCACTCAAATTGAATCATATCCATTTGTGCCTATAATGGTGGGTGCGGATTGGGGTACCTTGCTAGTCTATAATGGATGATGATTTATAGAACAATTTGGGAGCCTTTAGATTGTCAAGCATTTGAAACCAGCATGTATATGAACCCTAAAGATCCAAACCTAAATTAAAGCCTTGCCCTCCCTTTTGTTAGAAAAACCTAAGTAAAACACATGATGGGATAATTATTATTATTCTACTTGTAAGTTTATACTAACCATTTATATTATTCCTTTTATATATTATGTTGTTCTTTGTATATTATGGTATGTTAATTAACCTCTTTGTTTTTTACTTTATTATGCATGCATGCATCATTAGATTTATTATAAAGAGTGATTGCCACAAA